GTTTTGGTACCGAAGTTTATCGATCATAACTTGATAAACAATCACCATAGAATCCTGGCCATGGATCACGTGGAAAATAATTTTGATGATAGATGAATGTTTATTTTTCTATTTCCCATGCGTTCCCATTTGCTGATTAAACATGGTCATAACAGTTGTTACATGATTTGATGTCAATTTTATACTTTCTTCACTCGCACTTGTGCTATACGGTTGCCGAATTTCCAACAAGATGTATCATGGTTCACTGCATACGGAAAAGCTGCTGATGAATTAGAGTACGAGTAAACAATAATTCAATAGCAGTGCATTTCTGAAGATTCTGAAGATGAAGGATTTTGTTTTAAAAGAATGTCTACATGGTACACGTGTTTATTAGTACAGTAATTCTAGTGTATAAAACATATTCAACTGTTTTGTTAAATTTGAAGGATCATATGAATTCTGCTAATTCATATTTTTTTGAATTGACTGATGTGTAGTGATTGAGAGGACTATTTTCCTTGTATTAAATCTAAAAAATAACACATGGAAACATGTACTTCATCAGTAATGATGTCGGGTTATAAATAATTTTCATTAAACTTAAACTATAACAGCCTTGTTCATTGGAATCAGAGAACAATTAAGAATTAATCAGATAAACTGATATAAACTAATGTATGTACATTATCCAAAATGTAAAATGTAGTTGTACTCGCTACGAAACAGGAGAAAAGTCGGCGAGCTTCGCTTCTTGCTTTTCTAAATCTCGTAAAAATAAATTTTATCTATTTAGAAATTTTACATAATTGTCATATTTGGGCATTACATTTGCGCTCATTTGGAGATTAAAAATATTTACGTTTGCGCACAGGTTTTTATAACATTTGCGCAAATTCATTTTACAGTTAATACAGGTTCATGCAAATATAACGATAATTCATAATACATTTGTCGATAGTTTTTTATGCTATAAATCCATTGTTAATATTAATATTTTTACATATTCATCATTTTGAATTATATATTTTTCATATTGAAGACGTTAATAAAAAAATATATTAAGTGATCCTTAGAAATCCCGTTATCGCTTAAGGCATTCTGGTAATTTAATTGACACTATTGCCGAGTGGATTTTGTTCTGTTGTCAAACACACACGCAGCAACTGTTGCAAGTAAAATTGAGAAAGAGAAAACAGAGTATATGATGGAACAATTCCGAAAATACCAGAATGAAGAAGTTAACAGAATTAATTTTCTTAAGGCGGTGGGCTTCAAATATTCAGCACGTACCGACATGTAAAATCGGAACTTTTGCTCTTCAGATTTCTACATTTCAATTTGTATATATTTCTAAGACTTAGTGCTTGCATAATAAACCGGACTTACATCATGATGTATCTTACTCGAAACCTCACTTCCACCTCTTCGTTCGTGAACAGGGGACTAAGACTAACAGAAGGGGTAGTTGTAATTACTTAATTAAATGAATAAAAAGGTATACCTTATATGTGTTTACCCGAAAAAATAACGCGCAAAAGTAATTTAAAAAAAGCTGCGTGCACACGTAATGATTTTTACGCAAATGTAATAATAATGCGCGCAAATGTAATGGAAATGCGAGAAAATATTGTGGTAATGTGCGCAAATTTAATGATTTTGACATGCAAATGTAATGGTAATGCGCGCAAATGTAATGCACCGATACATAGACTTCTATGGTACTATACGCAACATACCACTAGGTTCTTGTTGGCAGATGGCATATATCAGTGTATACATGCTGTCACTGTTTTCATGCTTCTATGATAAACTGTTTAAAATATATCTAAACATAAATTATTTCATATTAGAAATGTGTTACTGTTCAAGTTATTCTCGAATGTTTTGAACGAATTTATCAGTGCTTAGAGGTCTAACCGATATACTATTTCAGAGCGGTACCAACAGTGCTTAAAGATCGGATATATCATTTCAGAGCGGTAAGGTTTTGCAATTTTGAGGTCCTACCTAACAGTTTGGTATAGTTAAATAATGTTTATATATTTCAATTGTAATATAATTTCATTTGAGGAAAGAATTGCAACTTAGCAAATTTTAAAATTTTAATGGAATAAAGCCACTAAAACAGAATAGGTCTGCTCTGAGAAACTTTTTTTTTTATTCCTGCGAGAAAAGCTGCTTTAATTTAACATTCCTACTTAACGCAACGTTGACAACGAAAGAGTTGATTCTCTAAATGGTCTATTAATATTTTTTATCTAGAAATGGTTCAGTAACCCGCACAATTGGAAATTGAGTCAGTTTATTCACTTTCTTGTTTTTTTGGGGTTTTTTTTATTAAGAAGAGATCATATGTTTATCCCTAATCGTCTTCAACTGCGTACTTAATTTGGTTTTCTTTATTTCGATTCGATAGTCACTGATGAGTCTTTTGTAAATCAAACGCACGTCTCGTCTGTCGTACACAATTATAAGCCTGGTATCTTTGATGAGATTTTATTATACACAGTCTGAGACCCAAACATGGGTGGATATCGTATTTAATTGTTTCCTCGGGTTTAATTTTCAAATAATCACTAGTACAAAGTACGATTTGAGGTCAAATGCACCGGCTCTTGGGGGAATGGACCCCCTATTTTAGAATTCATTTGAAGTAAAATTTCTTTATTCTTTAGTATTCTAACTTTGTTTTGTACTTTTTTTTAACGTATTCTTGCAATTATCTTTACGATTTAACAATAACAGTATATGACCGACCTCCCTCTATTCTTAAAGTGGAAAATAAGAAAATAAGAATAGAGTACCATCGGTCATATATAAAAGACTTTGAAATTGACAGGAAGAAATTGTAACGCAATGCTAAATTTAATGTAGATTATCGGTCCTCCCTAAAACGGCACGGAAAACTAAATCCTACAAAAATTATAATTTCTCATTCATGAATCTTGTTTTCTTAGGGCAGAATATTTAATCAGCTGCGGTAGGGCGAAGCATTAGAAAGGGGAGGGGCGGGTATTCATTCACGAAAAAACTTATTCATGGGGGAGGGGTGTCATTAATACGATTAATTTTTGGGAGATGGGTGTCATATGCCAGACATGTACATTCCTAACAATACTCATTTGTATGTTTCGGAGTATAGTGTGGCGACCATTTCGCTGAACTAGTAAACATTATTGTTAAGGGACAAGCTGAAGTCTGCCTCCGAGTGCAGGATTTTCTCGCTGAATTGAAGACCTATTGGTTGCCTTGGGCTGTTTTCTGCACTTTGGTCAGGCTGTTGTCTTTTTGTCACATTCCACGTTTCCATTCTCTATTCTAATGCAAAGCTCTATTCAAATAAAGAACTAGCTGCTGTCATTCTCAAATCTTTACCGGTGCACAGCGTCAGCAAGATGCCTAATTTTTCGAGTGGCATTTAATCTGAAAACTCCTTAGTATAGTATTTGTTTTGGTTAATTATCCATTGAAAATATAAATTAACAACCGCTTAGTCGGATTATCTATAGATATAAGAAGATGTGGTATGAGTGCCAATGAGACAACTCTCCATCTATGTCTGTATTGACCTATGATTTAAATTTGTATCACTCTTGACCACTGGATAGATGTTTTATGAATTATTTTTAACTTACTGAAGCTTTCAAAAGGTAAGCATATATGTAGATTTTTAATCCTTTGTAAATAGACATTTATATATATATATTATATTTAGAAATAAACTTTAAAAAAATCGAATGTAATTCAAATAAATTAAGTTTAAATATAGAATGCTTCAAAATAGAAATTACATTATATCACAACTTATTACCATCTTGTGTAGCATCACCACCATGTATATGTGCCACATTTTTGCGCCTGTCCCAAGTCAGAAGCCTCTGGCCTTTGTTAGTCTTGTATGTTTTTTAATTCTAGTTCATTTATATGTTTTGGAATTTAGTGTGACGTCCATTTTCACTGAACTAGTACACAATTTTATTTAGGGGCCAGCTGAGGACCACCTCCGGGTGCGGTATTTTCTCGCTACGTTGAAGACCCATTGGTGGCCTTCGGCTGTTGTCTGCTCTTTGGTCGGGTTGTTGTCTCTTTGACATATTCCCCATTTCCATTCCTAAATTTTATTTTATCCACAAAGAGGTGAAAAAAAACAAATGTATATTTCAATAAGTCAGGTCAGGTCAAATTCTTATTATTTTCATTTTATTCTATTTTTTGCTGACAACTTATTATAAATTTTGTGAGACTGATTCCTAATAATGTACACTACTATTTTCTCTCTCTTCAAATCGTTAGATTAAAACCGGGTAGTACCTGTTCAATGAAGCATGTGACGAGTTCAATCTTGTTAAAACACATTTATCCTACAAATATTCATTTGAGGTTTTCGTAGAACAAAGTTATATCATATTTAAGCTTGAGCAGCTCTGTATTCAGAAAAATTCATGTAAATATAGCGGATAAATTGTATGGCGAATAGTTTTGTACTGTACGGGAAATAGAATAGATACTTTTTGCCATTATTGTTTCTTTGCTTCGGGGTAACTATATCTTGTGATGATGCTACACGGTGACCATTGGTACGGAAGATGCAACAGGCAACACCGACGGAGGTCAATTTAGCGAATTGATAGGAAATTTTAATGAAAAAAAGTCGTCATTAATTACTGATTTTCAAATTTAGCTAAAAACAGGAAAATTTTTGGCCGTACCAAAAATTACACAAATACTATGAGAAAGATTACTTAAGTAATAGAATTATATTATCCATGTAAATATTGTTGAGCAGTTCATTATACTTGCCGGACATGTCCATCCTATAATGTCTGACCTTTCAATACTATAACGATCTCAACGGTATATTTGTCTTATAAAATTGCATTTTTTTTTTTTGGTTTGTAATTAAAAAAAAAATATTCCCAAAGGCATGTTAAACGAAACTGTAAATGCAAACAAATCTGAAATTGAACCAACATGAATTTCTGTTCACATTTGTTACTGTTTTGATTCTCGCTAAAATGGGCTGTATAACAGGTAAGCGGATTTACCTGTAGCTAAAATGTCCACTACACGTGTAGTTGGTTTGAATATTTCGTTAAAATGTCCTGCACCCAGTACGAAGTATTTTTTTTCCACACACAAAAATAAGAATCAAACATGCATCCCCAAAACAAAACAATATATGGTCTGTACCCATGCTTTTTTTCTTGCAGAGTAATTCCAAAATACTATGCTATTCTATGCTTTATTGTTATGACTACATCGGATAACGATATGGGTGGGAGTCATGATTTTAGAACTGTGTCCTTAGGGGGTCATTTTTTGCTTCGTAAGAGATGGGGAAGGGTTGTAGATTTTTTTTTTTTTTTTTTTTTCCAAAATTGAATCCGACTCCCTCGCCTGATAAATGATGACTTCCTTAATGACGTCCAAACTTTTTACTGAAAAAATCAGAAAAAATTAAAATATTCAGAGATACCTGGGGAAATGGTGCTGCTATTCGCCCTTTGGATAATGCTATGTTCATATAAAATTCAAATAATTTCTGGGACTCGAATGGATGCAATTTTGTGGTTGATGTCGATCCACAAGTCGGTTGATTGCACGAAGACCAAATTAGGTTAGTCTAAAATATATGATTGTATTGGTTATTAAAAATTTTGAAGTTGATTAATTGGGGTTGCGATCTGGAGTTGGCGCAACTTCCCTCTTCGTAAAGTAGAAATGTATAAACACCACGCTACGAAGTAGCTGGCCAGGGGTATATTGTTTAGATCCATCCGTCCGTTAGTTCGTCGGTCATTTTTGTTTCTGGATCCTGAATCAATTAGTTTTTCATATTGAATTGCAACCTTACTTGGAAATACGGTCACATATATGAGACTCAGAGGAAGTTGTCTACTGATTACGAGGTCACTACGTCTAAGGTCAATGTCATAGTAACTAGAAATAGACCATATTTGTGTATGGAAGTGGTTTCCGGATGTTATGAGGTCATTATGTCTATTAAAGTTCAAGGTTAAGGTTGGTAAAAAAAAAAACGAATTTTGTAAGGCAAGTTGATTCCTGATGCTGAATCAAATACATTTTTTTAATGCAACCTTACTAGGATATCTGTAGTACATAATGAAATCAAGATTCCTATTGAGCTTGATTTCACTAGAAATAAGGTAAATTAAGACAAGCTTGTAGCCTGGTTACTTTAATCGAGTTTTAAATACAAATATCATAGCTGTCTGAAACCATAATAGAAAAAGAATAATACATAAAAGACAATATAAAAATACTATGCTAGCAGATCTGGGTTTCCCTTAATTTTTTTTTTAGGGGGTTACGTTTTGTATGTTAGCTTTTGATTTGTTAAGAAATTTTTTTTAAAGAAATATGCATAATATTAATTTTTAACATAAATGATTTGGTCTCCTAGTTAAACCTTTCTCCAATACTTAATATTCTGAGTCCTTGAGTTTTCATGTAAACCGAAGACGATGACGACAGCTTAATTCACAATACCATTAAGCGACGCGATTTCGCGGTCATATGAGCAAATATACAATCTGAAAATAGTAAAACAAAACCAAAACAGATTAACTAAGACCAAAAAGCACAGACTAACATAACATATGTTCGGTGAATTTCGAACGTGTACATGTAATATAAGCTACATTTTTTCACTGATCTGATCTAAAAGGTTTATAGTAAATGTTGATTAAATAGGTTGTGGTGTTTTTACACTTTTTCAAACTCACCTTTTTATCAATGCGTTTTGGTAAAAATTAACGACATTACGATATAAATAGTTTTCGTGTTTGACACTAATTTATGAAATAAAATATCAGTTTCAATGAGCTCATTATGCTGTAGTATCTGAAACTGTACCAAGGGATAACCGATTAGGATTTTTCCATTTTGGTGTGATTATGATATAATGTTCATAGAGACAGGGAGTCTATAAATTCTTTGCAAATATTTTTAAGATAAGAGTTTAACTATCTGTTCATGAAATTTCTTTGTTTATTAAAAAAGTTTAATTGGTCTTAGATACATGATTTTTTTAATTAGTTGTTATTGGCTTTGTCAGTAACTGATTTTTATAGTTAACTTTGTTCTTATATTGTACTGTTACACCACTGTCTCGGGTTAAGGGAGGGTTGGCGCCTTCGAATATGTTTAACCCCGCCACATTCTATATGTCCCTGTCCCAAGTCAGGAGCATGTTGTTCAGTGTCATATTTGTTTTTTATAAATTGTTTTGTTATAAATTAGACCGTTAGTTTTATCTGAATTGTTTCATATTTTTCATGTCGGGGCTTTTTATAGCCGACTGTACGGTATGGGTTTTTCTCATTGTTGAAGGCGGTACGATCAAAATTCCATACCTTTATCTCGGTGTTGGGGTTTCATAACACTCCCCAGTTTATAAACACTCTAGAGTGTTGTGAACCTATTATGTCCAAAACACTGCACAGTGTTACCAACCTAGATTCAAAACACTTCCTTGATAAATATTTGGAATAACAGTGTACAATGGAATAAACCTGAAACTCGTTCATTTATGAAAGTTCAATGAAAAAAATATTGAGCTTTCGGGAATCATTTATTTATGTTTTAGGCTTATTTGTATAATATGTATATTAGAATACAAAGGTATCCAGATTTTTTTATTATTTTTTTTTTGGGGGGGGGGGGGATTTCTTGGTAACCACTCCTGTTTTTGCATTATAATTCCTTCATTTAGAGAGAATTTTGAAATCTGTTTTACTTTTATCCATTTTCTGTTGTTTAATGGTGTAATAGGTAAGAGCAGTCGTCATTCGGGTTTTTATTTTGTTTGCTAATACTATTTCTAACTTAAACAAATAATATTTTGAAACTTCCTGTTTGAAACCATTTTTTTTTTTTGTCTTATGTTTATTTTTTTTTTTTTTTGTTTTTTAATACTATTTCTAACTTCAAACAAATAATATTTTGTAACTTCCTGTTTGAAACCATTTTTTTTCATGAAATTCGGAATCAATCATTGGTGAGTTTCATAACGTTCTCGTCAGGAGTATGAATGAAATATATGCCACTGGACGTTAGGCAAATAATAATTAATGAATCATCAATCAATATAAAAAAGAACACTAGGGCCTCATACGACGATATGTTATATCTAGACTATTAATTTACTTGGACTGTCATTCTATCAAACCACAGAAGCCTCACGAGCTGGGTCACCTCTTTTTCTTACTTTGCTTGGGGCTTCACGTTGCCAAGAAATATATCATTTGTATGATCAAAATTTGATAGATATTCCTATATCAATTCAATGAACAATTCGTATAAAGAAATTATTTCAATTATGAACTTTTTCTTATATATTCAAAAGATTGTTTACTAATCGATGTGACTTCTTATCATATCAGTTTTGTGACTTTCTATATGTGTCCTGTGACTTTAAAGCAGGTTCCATACCTATTTTTGAATAACATATTCTCGTCCTGATTATGCACGAATTAATTCTCCGCTGGACGTTAAACAGCTAATTGATCATCATCATCATCATCATCATTTAAAAATTCTTTCAATTAGTCTTATTTCTTTTTACATGTTAATGGTTTTCCCTCTATGATCCTTACAACATGTGTCAACTTTTCACAAACTGTAGCTTGAACACAAGCTTGATGACCTATATATATGTAATTTTTTTTATATTAGCACTTTATAAACAACATTATGGCAAATCACTTGGTATACATAAAATCTGGATTTTTTTTGCTAAACTTCCATTCATGAATATATAGTCAATTAATTATAACGATAAATGCATGTTCAATATTCAAAGAAACAAAATCTTCTAATCCAAACATTTATTGCAGTAGAGGACGTGTTGATTATTCTTCTCATAAATATTATCAAAGTAATAATAAGCATGTAGTTAATTTCCTCAGCGATGACCATGTTTTCGCAGTGGGACTAAATTAAACATATTAAAGCTTAACGCTAAGATTTATTGTTTTATTAGAAAATAAACAACAGTCCTGGTATGGCTCTCCAATTAAGGTCCACACAGATACAAACTCGGGGAATAAAATCCCCATTTAATTTTATTTAGCAGTAAAAATCCCAGTAAATCAAGCAACTGAAAGTGAACGTACTTTTATGCGTGATTCACCCCTATATATTGGAGAGTTTTGGTAGTGTCTATGGGCCATTCGATAACCTCGGAAACAAGATTCTCGGAACGTCTCGAAAATTTTCGATCATTTATACAGGTAGTTAACGATGTCTTTGAAACGGTCCCTCTATGGATAGGCTACCACATAACATTGTATATTTCAACAGGAACATAAATAGATATACTGTTCCCAGATTTCAACAGTCAAAGTTCAATTTTTAGATCGGAAAGTAAAAACTAGATTGCGTTAAAAAATTCATTCATTAATTCCAACCTATTTGCCGTTTGACATAACACATGTGAAGAATGTTTATTAAATATCACGTATAATGATAACACAATTACATAATTTATGTTTTGAGACGGTCCTCAAGTTGTACGCTTTGTGTGTGTAGTATTTAATACAACGTGCTATTGTGCATTGTGACAATAAACCTGGGAATAGTATACTGACAATGTATTATGTACCAGAAAAAACTGATTATTTCTGAAAGTTTACAACGTGAGATTTTTTATTTCCATCATAGCCTGAGCAAATGCCGGAAAGCAAGAAGAAATTAAACAAAACGATATTTCTCTTAAAAATAGTTATTTTAGGTTGGAAATATAGTGGTCATAAAGCAGAAAGATAATTAAACAAAATGTCAAAATATTTAATTCATTTATAGTTACCATCAGAATAAGGGAATATTCCAGTTAAATTATTAAGTTTAAACTGAAACTAAGTCTATCAATTAATTATCATAGATATATATCATACTCCACAAGTTTTAATAGTGAATACATTGACGAAAATTATATGCAACAAATTAGCACCAATTATCAGGGATGCACACACATAATTAGTATCTAAAAATTAAACTGTAGTTAATGAAAAACAAAATAATTGCATGGTTTCAATTCACAATGATTTTAAAATCTTATAGGAAAACGTTTATGCTGAACAATTAAGCACGCGGAATCTACTGTGGAGGTAAAATCGTGGGGCAAAAAAAGACTGGCTTCTTTTCTGTCATCGGGTTAACTTTTAATCGTACAACCTTTTGGTGTACATGGGGCCTCGATGGTCGAGTGGTCTAAGAAGTCGAAATATTGCAGTGTATCAATTTTATGCAAAAATGCTAGGTGAATGATATAGACCCCTTTGAGCCTCTAGTTGAAACTTTTCGGGTCTCCAGCAAGTTCGAAATGGCTTTCAGTCGTCAGAGTAATCTTGGTCTGCTACAAATGCCACTGAATATTTTTAAATCAAAAAAAGATATGATTAAATGATTGATATATCTGTATATTTGCAGGAAAATATTTCAAAATGTCAGCTAACATGCCACCTAAGACAAAAGAAGTGGACGATAAGGGTAAAATTCGGATTTTCCAGCTGGCGATGCTATCAGCCGTTGTACTTCTGCTGGCAGTGTGTATCATCATTTTAGCAGTGTTTTTGTCACGTGACAAGATGGAAATTTGTGATAATGGATATACCGTACTGCCGAGAGACTTCGAAAATCCTTCTGTATTCGATGGACTAACACCAACAGAATATGAAGCAGTGAAAGTGTATATGTTCACCAAGACCAATTTAAGTCTTGTTCCCACAAGCAAAGGAACGCCGCGGAATGCTTACATTTTTATGATTGACTTACTCTTACCCCCAAAAGACAAAGTCATTGAACATCTGGATCATGGCATGATACAACCTGAGAGAAAAGCGCTTGTAGTTGTGATTAGAGGAGATTTATCTACCGGGGTAGTAGAGGAATACGAAGTAAGCCCTCTTCGTTGTCCAACATATCACAGAAAAGTTAATCCTCATCCTATCCCTTTCAATTTCAGGCCTATGGACGATCCAGAATACGGGCGTCTTTTTGGAATTATCAAAAAAGCCACCGAAACATTGTATCCCCTTCTAACAGAAAGCTATGGGCTAGCCTACCACAACTGCACGCCTGGCGAAAATTGTATGCAATTTTATGATGTAGCTCCACGCGGCATAAATGATAACGAAAGAAATACATGGTTTTGGGGCTTTAGAGCGGTTGAAGGATTATATCTTCATCCACTAGGACTTGAAATCCAAATCGATCATGCGCATCGAACATTTTCAGATTGGAACATTCTTCAAATAGTTTACAATGGTCAAATGAGAGCATCTCCTGAACTATTACTCGAGGATTATAAAAAGGGAAATATAAAGAAACTGAAAATACCTACACCTACATCAGAACAAAATCTATATTCAACGTACAAAAGGCGAGGGAAAAGTGAAATGAATGTGCCATTACAAGGACCAAAGCTAATAGAACCGGATGGTCATAGATACAAAATAGATGGATTACATGTTACCTATATGCATTGGGAGTTCAACATCAACACAAAGGCTTCAACCGGTGTACAATTATTTGATATTAAATTCCAGAAAGAACGTATTGCGTATGAACTATCTTTTCAGGAAGCATGTGTATTCTACTCAGGGTATGGACCCGCCCAAGGCATAACAAACTACTATGACGTTTCCTGGTTTATAGGAGCGTATATCAATGAACTGGTTGCCGGAGTAGATTGTCCGGATACTGCAACATTTTTGGATGTTGATTTCTTTTTAAAGTCCGAAAACCCTCTCCGAATAAAAAAAGGAATTTGCGTATTTGAAGAACATGCAGGGGTACCGTTGAGACGACATTATGCTTCCGATTTTCATGGAAGCTATTATTATTATGGTGGTTTAGGCGATTATCGTTTGGTTGTTAGATCTATTGCGAACGTCTGGAACTATGACTACATATTTGATTACATATTTCATTTGAATGGAGCCATAGAAGTACAAGTTTATTCAACAGGATATGTGCAGTCAGCTTTCCCGCTAGACGATGAATTACAATACGGAAGTAAAATGGCGTCATTCATGACGGCCAATATTCATCAGCATTTATTTCATTATAAAGTAGATTTAGATATAAATGGTCGTTCAAATATGTATTCTACTCTAGATATATCTACTGAAAAAATTAAATCGCCTTGGTATTCAGATTTTAATAAAACACAATTTAAATTCGAATTGAACAAAAAATCAACCGAAGAAGAAGCAAACTACAAAACAGCAAATGAAGCAAGGTACGACATTTTCTATAACGACCAGGTTGAGAATGAATTCAAACACAAAAGAGCCTATCGAATACTCAACCATGGAAAAACCCCGTATCTGTTATCGAAATCGTCAGAAACGAATGCCGCACGATGGGCAAAATTTCCGTTAGCAGTCAGTAAATATAAAGATAATGAGATATCCAGTACATCTATCTATGCAAATAACGGGCCACGGAATCCTGTCGTTGATTTCGAGAAATTTATTTCAGATAACGAAAGTTTAGAAAACAAAGATCTTGTTGCCTGGGTAACATTAGGTGTTTTACACATTCCTCATACAGAAGATATTCCATCCACAACCACAGCAGGATCCCAGGTGCGATTTTTTGTGTTACCGTTTAATTATTTTCCGGAGTGTCCAAGTATGTCGTCTCCAAATGCAGTTCATATTACTCCAAAAGGAGCAAATGATATAAATCTTAATACATTTGGAACAAGTTATAACTCTAATTGTATACAGAAACAGAATGGGCCAGCTTCATATGATGGCAGAGTTTATGATGCTAACTAAAACAGGGTTAGGTAATCATTGTGCCTTAGAGATTGGGAAATACGGGAATGTATGAGGTCTATTAGGTTTCTTATTTTTTTTTATTTTGACAAGTTATTCCCTCCATTTGGATATCTACCCTTTTTATACATGACAGTGTAACATGCAAGAGAGTTGTCTCATTGCCATGGCAACCATACCACCTCTACTTATTTTTATTAGTACAAAACAATTTCCTTGTAAATAGAAAATACTCAAATACTGCATGTCATTATATTTTATATCATGAATATAAATATAGTATTTTTTCTCGGATATTTGATATGTGTTTGTTTTGTTAATAATATTTGGATATGAAATACTATGCCATATTTATATCTTGGACGAATCGATATTGTCCAATTATAAACCGAGTTCCCTAATACATTAAATACATTAATTTCGGGACTTACAAAATCAAAAACTTACTAAATAAAAATACAAGCTGCTACAAATTTGAAATTTGGAGTAAATATTAAGATGGAACCGTAATTTTCTTAAACATTGTGATGACCATCCACAAGTGCATTTATCCAGACCATAACCAGTTCTTACCAGGGGTGGATCCAATAACTGCTTTGAGTAGATGGATTTCAAATCATACCCTCCACCAGAGAGTACATTTGTGCATAGAAATAAGTTCAAGTTTCTTTTTCGGATTGGCTGAATGATATCACTGTCACGTCCGGTCGAAATTGTGACGGTAAAACTAATTTCTCGTGTACAGATGGTAGTTAAAATTCCCTTTTAACAACTTTTTCAGGAGTCCATAAAGGGAAAATTGAGCCATTATCCAACAAGTCAAAATTTTCCTGTGTCATGCTGTTCAAATTACGCATTCTTCATACTTTTCAAAACCGTTAAAATGCCTATCTATTAGGGGACAACCATTTACTATGCTGGCCGTGGCGGACGAAGATTTTGAAATTGAATTTTGTGGCCTGATAGGAACTGAAAATAAATAACCTGACCAAAAACCGAGTACAATGAATATTTTACCCATCAACACGTAGGATATCAATGTGTGAAAAAATGTGAAAATAAAAAAATCCTTCCGCCTCCTCCCCCTCCCCAAAATATCAAACGGTATTCTTAATAGCTTGTTTTGTATTTTGTTAACAATCCAGAAACCGACGGGTAATTGAGAGTAAAACACGAGATAGTAGGCCGAACAGGATGAAATTAACTGTCTATAAAAAATTGTACCAGAGACCAAATGACGTAGAAGTTAACAACTATTATAGGTACCCGTACAGCCTTCAAAAATGACTAAAACACATACCGCATAGTAAACTACACAAAGGTCCCGAAATAACAAATGTAAAACGATTCAAACGAGAAAACTAACGGCCTGATATATGTACAATAAACGAAAAACAAAAATGATACGACAACAAATGACAACCACTGAGTTAGAGGCGACTTGGGACAGGCACATACAGAATGTGGCGGGGTTAAACTAGTTTGCTGGCGCAAAACCCTCCCCTAACTTGGAACAATGGTGTAACAGTACAACATAAGAACAAACTATACAAATCGGTTTTAAAGGTATAGAACCACTAATTCAGGCCCTGTCGGAAAGAACATACAAGAAAGTAGTACATATTTTAAACAAAATAGTTCCTACGCATAGCTTTATCTTTGTCAATAGTGGGAAGTTTTAGTATCAAATGAAAGCTTGGGGACTTGGGATCACTGTAGAACCCTTGTTGAAAGTTTTATTTGAATAATGAAGAAGTATAGGAAATTTTAATAGGAGGGCTCATTTGGCCTGTTGTTCAGATCAGAAGTTCCTGTTTTTGCACTATCAAACTTCCGGGAACCAGTACGCTCTAATATGCAATTAAAGGTATGTTGATTTTTTCAGCACAAGTCAGCATAAAGTACAGTTTTTACATGAAATAACTGCCACTTTGTTTGAACTTAAGACAAAGTAGCCATTTATGCTTGAAATTGCAGAATTTAACATAGGAAGCAATGGGGCTATGAATTAGTGGTTTTATACCTAAAGGGCTTTGAGGTCGTGTTTTTCTCCGACTGTTTATGACGTCTTTGCTCTAAATCCATTGGATGTTGGATGTGTACTGATTGATATTTTAGTCTTAGATGCATGACTTTTTTTTTATTAGTTGTTATTGGATTTTAACTAGCTGTCAGTAACTGCGAGTACTCTCAGATCTGTGTACTCTGATGAGTTAAGCCTTTTTTAACTCATTTTTATAGTTTGTTCTTATGTTGTACTGTTACACCACTGTCCCAGGTTAGGGGAGGGTTGCGCCTTCAAACGAGTTTAACCCCGCCACATTCTGTATGTGCCTGTCCCAAGTCAGGAGCCTGTAATTCAGTAGTTGTCGTTTGTTGCTGTGTAACATATTTGTTTTTTGTTCATTATTTTATTTTGTACATAAATTAGGCCGTTAGTTTTCTCGTTTGAATTGTTTTACATTTGTCATTTCGGGGCCTTTTATAGCTTTCTCATTGTTGAAGGCCGTACGGCGACCTACAGTTGTTAATTTCTTTGATATTTGGTCTCTTGTGGAGAGTTGTCTCATTGGCAATCATACCACATCTTCTTATTTTCGTATTTACTCATCAGATCGATTCCCAGCACAAAAAAAAACATAACAAAAACTCAAAAGACATAAAGTACAGATTTGAGAGTACTCGAAGTAACTGAAAGCTAATTCAAAGCTTAAAACAATTAATGAAAAAAATATGTATCTAAGATTCAAATATCAATCAGTACACATCCAACATCCAATGGATTAAGTGTAAAGATGTCATTAACAGTCAGAGAAAAACATGACCTTGTGCAAACTAGTGTCCTTGTTCAATACTAAATTATAGGTATCGACAGATTGAAGGATAGTGACATATTATGTACATACCTGTATAACAATAATATTTAGTTTGGTTTAATTTACTGATAACAAAATAAATATGTATACCGAGTAGATGTACAGTATACTTTATTAAATATTGATGTTGGTTTGTTGAAGTTTTTCACCACACTTTCTTATATTAACAAAACTGCGAGTATTAATGAAAATTCAGTATAGAGAATTTTTTAATTAAAAAATATAAATGCACTGTAAAAACGTATATACAATTAAATGACAAGTTTCTGATATAAATAGTTAACGTCCCCTGTACCGCCTCATACATGCTTGATCGACTCTACATCGACAACGTCCTGGCACTTTTCTTTCACAAATTCCTGCACAACCTGCACACGTGGGTCTCAGAACCCTTCTTATAATCTTCCACCATCTACCGGCTTCAGCTAAAGGTGGATCATTCGAACACAGTTGCTACAACAGTATAACAGATATAATTATACTTGGAGATTTAACTTTCAGGGGTTCTGTTTTTATACAGTTTAAACATTTTTTGTAATATTTATTTAGTTGTTTTTTATTTATTCATTATTTAATTTTTTGCTCCCATTGACATAAAATGTCACTGTAAATTGAATGGGAGTGATCTTAAACCTTGAGAAAGATCAGACCAGAAAGAGGCTGTTTACAATACATGTAGCTGCAACAACCCATGTTGTGGCCCGTTACAATCCCCTATACCTATCCACAAACACGTAAACACTCAAAAGTATAGCCACCGTCGTTGTACTGACCACAGTGACCATATTGATGATATCAAAATTATGTACTTTAAGTGTGCACCTTTACATTTAATTCGTTGTTTTTACCTTCAAAAGTTGGAGACAGAACTTTTGGTAAATTAGAAAAAAAAATAAAGAAAATTAAACTATCTTACAGTCGTGTGCTTGTTAATAGTAAAATAAAGAGGGTTGAGATCTCAAAAATCTAGTTTCACCCTGCTGCATTTTCATGTGTCGTCACAAGTTAGGAACCTCTTTAATATTTGCCGTATGCCATATGTAATATTAATGTTTTCTTTGATATTTGGAAAATTGGGTATAAATGGCAAATTTTTGACTGTTTCTGTTAAATTAATTCACATTTCTTAATAACTTTGGACAATTAAGAGCTAAGCTGCTTGACATATTGTATAGACAATTAACAGCCTGTTATGAATACCCTTATTGTTTACGTTTGTCATTGGGTTCTGTCTCATTGATGTATACCCTCACATCTCCTTTTGTTCTTAATTCTACAGTATTTAGGGTAATTGGTTCGTATAGTTTCGCAATTCGTATAACTAAACGTTTTTTTTTTTTTTTTTGGGGAGGGGGGGGGGGGGGGGGGGGGTAAGCGTAAACATACAAGACACATACAATCATGTAAAATTTTAATCTCCGCCAGCTTGAATTTCAACACAGGTTTACAGGTAAGATTTTGAAATATATATGCATAATTCCGCCGACTTACTCATAAACCAGACAAGGATATATATTTTGAGTTTCTAAACGAAAGACAAAATAAGTATACTTATCGATGAACACCGTAAAAATAGTCTTTTTTAATTATAATTTCAATGAAATGCACTGACAATTATTCTAAAATTAAAAAAAATCACCAACACTTGCAGAGAGATTACTTATGTATGAAAATCTCAAGACTGGTAAAGAAATACTGCGAAAATTAAGGGACAAAATAGTCGAAACTTTTTAACAACAAATGATTTTGATGTAGCGCAAATAACGAAATTAAATAGTATGTATACTTACTATTGATATGAAGGTCAATACGAAGAATGCCAACTTGAGATGTAAAGAATTCATGGTGTATTTCTGAAATATGAAAAATATATGGTCTAAACATTCAATTGTTAATTCAGTGAAACTGATGCTTAATGAGAGTCTAAATACTAGTCATAGTACAGGCAAAAGTTAAACAATTAAGTACAGTTTGCTCTGCCGGTTAAAATCCAGTAAGAAAAGAAATATCTTTATGCGAAATATACGACTTTTATAAAATGTTGTGTGCATATTTAGAACTCGTTGAATTCTTATTATATGATAATATGTTAATATAGTAAGGTATAATGGGTCATTTTTTTCAGAAACAAGACCTAAGTGCATGCCCATGTGACTGTCGTATACTGAAAGATCCTAAAGGAATCTAAGTCACCATTTTGAACTCCCCACCAATCTTTTAAATAATGTATTAAAAATCTCTCTATGCGACCATATATCTTACGCAGACACTCATCCTTGAAATGATTTTTTTCCCCGAAGGATGCCCAGTTTTAACAATACACGATATCCTTATACTCAGCTATCGTTTCAATCAAGTAAAAAAACTGTTATATGTTTTTTAGCTAAAAATAAAAAAAAAAGAATTCTGACCCCCGACATTGAAGAAAAACTAAATTTTCTGATCGAGAGTTTTTCCATTAAATGATAATAATGTGAATTAAGTTCTTAAAGGCAAAAAAAAAAAACAACAACAAAACAATTTGATGCTTGCGAGGTGCAAATTTTATTCCCATATGCAAAAAAGACCATAATCACCCCTCAAAATTAAATTGTCTTCCTTCAGGATTTTTCAGCAGTAAACTGCAATTAAATTGCTATAATTAGTGCCAACACTAATAATATAATATTAAACAAAACAACATCCAATAATAAGATCAAATAATATTATAATGATTAAAAAGCATTTGTATCCACTGACCGAGTCATGTTCTTGTGGTTACAGTCTAAAACAAAACATGTATCCAACCAACATCCCCCCTTTTCCCAATTATAAATGTCATGATGTACACTTACCTTAGTAGTGGTTTACATAAAAATAAACTGCTTTACTATTTAGTCTGCTCTTCCACTTCGCTATTTATACAGAAATAACAGAAGTGGACAAAGAAAAACAAAGTTTCCAGTGATACTATTTAAAGCGAGGATGGCCACTAAGTAAAATCTTTCAAGAAATATTGTTTACTGTTTACCGCGTTACTTTTCTAAATATAACTACTGGAATTCTACGAAAAGTGAAGTGCTTAGGAGAAACAACAATGGTCAGTTCGGTGATTTCCTCACAAATTTGGGTCAAAGAACAGCGCCTTCCCAGTTCCACGAAGTGTTAGGCTAGCTTTATTTAAAGATTAAAGTTATATGATGATCGACCTTTAGTATTTATTTACAAATGTTATTGTAAACAGGCGCAAGTGTTATAAATAACACCGTGATCTTTAACCTCTTGACCATGGAGAAGAAGGTAAATTTTTGTCGATTAAACGCATTGGTGCTTTCATAATTGTACTTTAAATTAACAACCATTTACAAGCAGTTATTCATTGTTTTCTCATTTCAATCAAATAAATTAAAAGATCACATTGATCCACTTAGGTATTATGATAGAACCGACAGTAAAACCCAAGCAATAGAGGGTTAGTTCGGCTGTGCGGGGTGAATGAATGGACGTTAAATCAGATACTTCATATAGGGAGATACAATGGAGCCATTAAGCTATCTACACGCAAATGTTTACCTCTAACCAACATCCTTAAATTTTCCGTCCTCATCGACACTATTTCACACCAGCATGCTGTATACCTATTGAACTTAATTGTTTAATTGATCATGTAATGAAACATGCATGAAATATCTGTCAATGGACGTAAAATAACCACAATTAATTAGTCAATACGTACATTAATCAAGTAATGTGCTTGGAATACATCCCGTCGATCAGTTCAGCCTTGGATCCTGGCTCACTGCTCGACAGTAGTAATGACACAAAGATGAGGTTTATCCAGGATGCCAGGCCAGTTGTGACTTCGAACATCGCTCGTGCCAAGGTGCGTTAGACTCCAACCTTAATTGAATATGATTGTTAGTTTTCCTATCGAAGTTCGGTGGTTCTCTCCGGCTACACCTGATTCTTCCATCCAGTGGTATAGATGCTTCCCTCCAAATCACTATCTAGAGTTCCGCTACTGTTGTGGTATAGATGCTTCCCTCCAAATCACTATCTAGAGTTCCGCTACTGTTGTAGTATAGTAGGGTCTTTATATGCTTCCCTCCAAATCACTATCAAGAGTTCCGCTACTGTTGTGGTATAGATTTTCCCCTCCAAATCACTATCTAGAGTTCCGCTACTGTTGTAGTATAGATGCTTCCCTCCAAATCACTATCTAGAGTTCCGCTACTGTTGTAGTATATATCCTTCCCTCCAAATCACTATCTAGAGTTCCGCTACTGTTGTAGTATATATCCTTCGCTCCAAATCACTATCTAGAGTTCCGCTACTGTTGTGGTATAGAAGGCAGGGTTCTCACGAAGGCGAGTCCGCGAGTCCTGAGTTTATCAAAATCTGTCTGGACTCATCATTTTCAAAACTGGTGTGTCCAAAGATGCATCAAGGTTGTAAAATGTTTCTCAACTGATCGCACATATCATCATTTTGTAGCAAAACTTTTAATTTTATGTGTTTTCCTTCCTCTATTTTGTCATGGAGACTGAAAAATAAATCATATAGCAATCAAATTCTTCTTCTCACTGTTAGACTCGTCATGACTAAACATAACGAGTTCCAAAAATCCTTTGTGAGAACCCTGTAGAAGGGTGAGTAACTGTTTTGTAAGAAACTGTGCGCATGTACAGGATAAAACAATAGATAAGGCGAACGTTTTTTTAATATCTGTTTTACGAGATTTTTTCTAAAAATTTAGGGTCAGGGGTCGAAATAAAAATAAAAATATAAGAATTGATTTGTTTGAGTCGACAAAAAAATAAATAAAAAGAAAAGTGGTTTTAACCATTTCTTTTTTTTTTATTTTGAACATAATTTATCCTCTTCTTGCATTTACTTTTTTCTTGTTCTAATAGGTTTATGAAGAATTTGCTTCACAGTAAATGATTTTTACTCCTTGATTTATATGTATAAAAGTGTTTATCATGCCTTTAATATTAAACAATAATAATAAAAATGTTCTTCTTTTTCCAGAAACTATAAACAGAGCTTTCAGTATAAAATAAGATGATGTGGTATGATTGCCAATGAAACAACACTCCACCTAAAACAAAATGTTGTTGATGTTAAGATTTTTTGACGTTATGCTGTACCATACACTGAATAAACTGCTTTTGGCATATTTGATTGGGCGTAGTACTCAGGCTTACTGCATAAGAAATTTCAAGTTTGAAAGATCATAGGGTGAACTTTGCAAGTGTGTGTTTTAATCTGGTTTCCTATGCAAAATATTGTAGACTTTGATCCTGGTCCATTTCTATCTTTATACGAATAGACTCAATGGCTTGATAACACAATTTATATGGCCCTTTGATATCCTTTTGATTTATCAATCTGTCCCGATTCAAACGGTTAGACATTGAAATTTCACACGAGTACAGGTAATATGGATAATGATGTTTAACGTCCAGCTTCAGATGCATATTCAGGACAAACATTTTAATGTAATATGATTACTAACCCTCCTTTGCACTAGACCGATACTCTGAGCTAGATTTTTTAACATGCTAGTTCAAAAAGTAACAGTCTGCAGGAAGACATGTCACCCTACCCGGACACATTATTCTGATTCTGAGCCGACCCGTTTTTGCTCTTACTCATTAATGCCACGTACTAGTGAGAGAAGCAGCAAATATCAGTTTTAAAATCTTTTATTAGTTTGACCCAGCTCAAGTTCGAACCCTCAACCTTATTTTTTAATAGGGTCAATACAAAGATAGCTGTTCAACAGATGTTGCTCAACGTAAGAGATTGGATAGTGCGCTCTTGAAACAGTCACCAAATTTGGCTTCCGGCAAGGAGAGCGTGGTAAAGTGTTGATATTTTATTTTCACAACCGCAAAATTTCGGCGATCGGCAAAAATAAAAAAAAGATTTAACAGCATTCTCTTTTATTTTTATTCCATTTTCGGGAATATACGGTCAGCGGGTTTGTAAAACAGATGATTAAAAAATGTTGGCCTTATTTTAATTCCATTTTCGGGGATATACGGTCGGCGTGTTTGTAAAACAGATGATTAAAAAATGTTGGCCTAACGCCTATGAATCAATTGTCCCATATACCAGGTACATAATAGATATCATCACAGTCGTGTTCCCACCACCAAATTAAAATCACAATGACAGATTATTACAAACATTTATAAACTAACGATTTTATTCAAGCATAGTGATTACTTCACAACACGAAGCATAAGCAGTTTATTACTATACGATGGTCTGTATGAGGTTTACAGAATAGAGAAGAATGGCACACAAAAAATAGATAAAAATGAGCAAACAAATAATATATGCAGGGATTTGTTTTACCGCCATAGATACACTGAGACGTCTCATTTAAAGCAGAACCGTTATACTAGTAACCTTAATAAAGCACTAGTCTAGTATGTGCATCAATGTAATTTAAAACGTCTATTCACTGCGGCATTTACTAAAATTTAAACGCGACTTAAATGTCACTAAAATCTAAAAAGGCATTTCACATGTAGTTACACAAAACACACTTCATCCAGTTCTTAAATTTTCAAGATATGAGAAACATATTATATTTGCAGATCTTGTCTAGCTGATCATATTTTCTATTTAAAGTTTTTATCTATCTATTAGAATTTTAGTTTTCAAGACAATAGACTAAAACACAAATACATGGTAAAAATTCCCTTCGTGCCAGGTGAGCTAAAAAGTTAAAACTTTAAATTAATAACCATTGTATAGACTTAGTTAAGTAAAGTAATTATTTTAGCCAACTTTAACCACTCAACCGTTAACCCGAAAATTCACACTTAAGACCTTTACTGTAGGTTATCCAGAATTAAAGCAACAAAGCCTACCCGTAAGAAGGAAGTTTCTAATGTATTCAGATATGTTATCTAAACGGTTTTGATATTGCCACCTTAACAGCCAGCTATATCCAATATTGCATATCTTCTACGACATAAGGCATATATGCATACCATATTCCTCTTGAGATGGCCTCCATTTTCTCCATTAGTAAGATAGTCTGTATTACTATTGGAGTATGTGGACTTGTTCTAATGTTGTGATGGAACATCACTGTCCCAGGTTAGGGGGAAGGTTGACAAACAGGTTTAAACCCCTGTATGTGCCTGTCCCAAGTCAGGGGTCTTTAATTCAGTGGTTGTTGATGGTTTATGTCTGTTACATTTGTGTTGTTATAAATTAGGCCGTTAGTTTTCACAATTGAATTGTTTCATATTTTCCATATCAGGGCCTTTTATAGCCGACTATACAGTATTTTTTCTCATTGTTGAAGGCCGTACGGTTGCCTATAATTTCTTACATCCACTTCATTTGAACTTTGTTGGATCATTGGCAACCATACCACATCTTATTTTTATATTGGTAAACCCATTATCACTTTTACATTGTAGTAGCATTAATGTCTTGTTTGAAAAGCCAGACAGGATTTACCGTTCCATGTTAAACGTCTCATAGCAGCTAGAGTTCTAAGCTTTGTAATAAACGATTCCGACACATCTTTACGTCTGCAATGTAGCAGAAAATGTTCAGTATTATATCTTCATTACCAACTACTAGTATACACAACAGGTATATCACACAGGAGTCGAAACACTGCTGCTAATTATCATGCTTTAACATTAGCTTTCGTAATAGAAATACAATCTCATTGGCAATCATACCACATCTCCTTATTATTACATGTATAGTCCCATATACATTATTATGTATTATGCAAAGTGCCAAATTTCATTGACATTGAATGTAAACCAAGAGAATATTTTCTTTCTGCCATTTTTAGTATTTCCTCCCTCCAAAATGTTTATTTGCTCTTTCTTGCATAGTTATGTTAACTTTCCTTGTTCAGTATATAATTCAAAATGTCAAATATGGATTCAAAGTCATACAATGAAAGTATATCATTCTGCCGCTTATTTCCGAAGGTAATTAAAATTTGAGTGTGTAAAATGTTTCAAATGGCATCT